TCAGGGCGGGAGGGGCACCGCAGCAGGCTGGGCCCCACCCGGCGCCCTCGACGGCGTGTGAGCATCCCCGGGAGCCGGGCTGCGGGGCCCAGCAGCAGCAAGCGGCCGTGGTCACCGGATGACTGGTCACACACAGCCCACGGAGGAAGAGGACGAGGCCGACCCTGGAAACGCTTCTGCTGCAGGCACGTGGCGCTCTTGTTAGCGCCGCGGGGGATGTGGCGGCGTTTTCCCCAGTGCTGTCTTAGGAAAGACTCCGAAACCCTCAGTGTGTCACACGAAGGTTCCACGCCATCACCAGGGCTCCGTGATGCCAACCTGGGAACCCAGCTGCTGCCGACACCAAGCCTTCCTCAGACCCTTGCGAGTGCTGCGTGGCCCCGACGGTCACCAGCCACGCCCTCACGGCCACCTCCTGGGCTACCCCGGACATCCTTTGCATCACGGCTGCGGCAGCTCAAGGGGAAGGGAGCTGCGCCAGGATGCTACCCCAGCCCGTGTCCCTCCGTCCCCTCACAGCACACACCTGCACACCCCGACACCGCCAACAGAGGCTTCAGCCAGGGCTTCTGAGGGGGTGACCTTTCAGAAACAGTTTTCCAAACCCACCAGTACCAAGTCCCCCATCATCACAGATCAAAATCTATATTCTTTTCTCATCAAAGCAGTTTTATATCAGCAACTTGGTCACAGTCTTTCTGTTTTAGTCTAATACAAAACTGGGAACCTTCAGTGTTTTCCTAGGTCAGAGATGGACACAGATTGTCAACCTCAGTTAGGAGTGATGGCTGAGAGGGAAACCAGCCTCTCACAAATCCAGAATCTGAACTCAAGCTCCAGTTCCAGCTGAACAGCAGGGACACGTGTCCCTTCCTCTGTGGGTCTCAAGTAACGCATGCCAAGCCCTGGAGACGCCAGGGTTAGAACACACCGAGGTGTGCAGACCCCTTGGCGGCTGCCACGGCCTGTGCTGTCACCTAACATTTGATATGGATGGACACGTCCGGCAGAATCCATGAAAGTGTCTAGCTTAGAATGTGTAAACAACAGAACCACTGACATTAGACGCAGTGGATTCAAACAGATTCTGTTTGGGGATAACTCTTCCACAATTCTGTGAACTGAAAATAACCAAAAAATATACACTGCACAAAGCTGCCTAGATGCCAAATAAGGCTGTGCAGGGAGACCGAAAAACAGAAGCACGTGAGACACACAGAAAACAAACAGCCAGAGCAGAGGCCTGTGTGCGGTTACTGCTATAAACATACATGGTTTAAAGTCTCCAATGAACAGGCAAAGACTGGCAGGATGGATAAAAAACGTGACCCCTCAGCCTGCTGGCCACAAGGATTCCCCTGCATGGACTAAATGGAAGGAGGAGACCGTTTTGCAACAAGTGTTAGATGTCAATACCCCACGTTCAGGAACAGACA